AAGTTGTTGTGTTATTTGTTGTAATAGCCAATCCTATTTGCTTGCTTATTTAAAGTTAAATTCTACCATGGAACAAAGATTAAATAAATACATTGTTAGGCCAGGTGCTGTTAGCTGCTACTCACATTTGAACTTTTTCTTGTTTTTCTAGGACTGCCTATCAAGACACTTTGTCCTAGAATTTGAACAAAAGGGAAAAGAGATGAAGTGGTAGATCAAATATGTCTGAATCTGTAGCACAAGCCTTAGAAAAAAGCAAAGATATTCTCAAACCATACCACTGAAGCATGGTCACCTTTTACATTTACAAGAGGAATTTCAGTAATACAAGGTACTTGTACAAACTGACACTGGAAATCATTGTTGGATTTATTTTTATTCATATCTTATTACTATCATATATACATGTTTGGATTTCATGAACAAAAAACCAAACTATTTTTAATTCTTTCCTATTTTAGTAAAACATGAGACTTCTTCCAGGGCAATATAGCCTAAAAATGGGAAGACAGTTAATGAAGGAGAAGTAATTTTAAAAAGAAGTGGTCTGTAATGCCTGAAACAAATTCAGGCCTCAATTTAGCAAAGCACTTAAACTTAGAAGTACTTCACTGAATCAGGGGTTTAGGATGATAGTTTAAATTATTGCAACTCAGTAGTGTCATTCAGAACTAATAAGTACCTACTTACAGAGGCAGTGATAAAATTAAGAACATTCAGTGGCAATTTATTAATAATTTCTTGGTTTTCTCATTATAATACAAAGCAAATTTCAACTTGGGTCAATTCTTTAAGGATAACATTCTGCATGCTTTAAGGGACTGAAATCTGAAAAAGAGACAGAAACTCAAATTATAATCTCTGTAGAGATACTGACAAGCTCCATAACCTTGGGTACATGAATTAATTTTTGTGATGCCCATTATTTATCTGTTCCATGGCTTTATATCACAGAGGGAGAGTTTAAAAATATAAACATACACACATATATGCTCCCTAATTAATCACCTAGATTACAAAACACTTTGAAAACATAAGAAGTGTTAGTAAGATATGATAAAGAAGATATCATCTACCAATTCATTGTAATGTTAAGGAGAAAACTGCCTTTTTCCCATTTCTTTTCCTCTCCCAGAGGTCTAGCTCAGACCAGAGCCATTGACAGTAATAGGTACTAGAATTTAAGAAATAGTTTCTTGATGTTGATTATGTAAAACAAAAATCAAACAATCCCTCCCTACTAATTTCATATATATCTTCAGAATTGATACCTTCAGAGAAAGCATTATTTTGATGGACATGAACTGCAGCTCTCCTTCATGCCCTTTAGAAATTGAATAGCCTGCAGCTTACATCCTTCTGGTGAACTGCTCCAAGAAGCTTGCAATGCTCAGACCTATATGGAGAGCAGGCTTCCCTGAAATCCTCAGTAAGCCACACAGAAATTAAAGTTTAGTGGGATGGGAAGGGAGTGGAAGGGGAAAAGGTAAAAGTCCAGTGATGTGAAAGTAGCTAGCAGCCAGGATTTTATCCCAAACATTCGTGCTGTGCCGACAGGAAGGCTTTCCATTCCATTTATCAGAAAGAGTAACAGCTTCATAAAACAGCCACAACAGCAATGCTAACATTAAATCTGTTGTTTCCAGTATCAAAGCAATTAGAAATGAAATATCACCTGTTCCTGCCAAAACCTAGCAGCCTCTCTGATCAGGCAGGGTCCTGGGTTACATTATGGGCTGTAACCAAGGCAGGTATTCCACCACCACCTACATTAATTACCTTCTGATGGACTGCTAAGGTGGGTGGAGCACTGTTTCTCTATCTCTGCCATGACTCAAACATGATAACTCCTCCTGGGGGAGCAGCAGCCACTCTGAGGGCTCATCTCTGCTAACAGGCCATCAAGGATTCCCCAGAATGACTCCCAGAATCACAGCAGCCCACTGTGAAATTCCCCATCCTAGGGGAGGTACTGAACGCTCCTGCCTCTATACAATCTGGGGTTTGGGACATGATGACACGTGCCACTGGAATGCCAAGGATCACAAGAACTCTCCACCACCACCACCACTGGGCCTCCAGAGAAGGACCAGACCTTTCCACAAGCTCACTGTTTTGACAAGACCACATCCATCACTCCAATGAGACTGCAACCACCATTCAGCTGGACTGCTACCACCACACTGACCAACAAGGGGACCACGTCGTGCTCTGACTTTGTCAGTTTAAACCACTGTTTCTGTACTATTGCCTTTATTGTCATTCTCCTATTAAACTGTAGCTCTGACTTGAAATCTTTCACAAGATATTTGTGTGGGGTTCAATCCTCCCACTGCTTTACCTTCCACTCAGCACAAGCAGATACTTTAAAAACTCTCCAGACTACACCAAATGGCTTCTACTCTGCTTCGTGTGTCTGTCTTCAGACATGAAACACACACACACAAACACTAAACCTACCCTCCCCCATCTCATATGATTTAGGAGGATAGCATAAGGCTGCTGCTCCCTCTGCTTCACAAATCAAATTTTCTTGGACAGGAAAAAGACTGATGAATAAACCTGCAAATATATTTGTGGTTACACATAAAGGATATATCAATATTAGCACAGCAGCCATTCAATCTCATACAGCATTGCACACTGTCAAGAGATGTTTCAATTATTTACATATAAATATATAATACATAGTTCTCAGTATGTGGGGCTTTGGAATCCACAATTTATCAATATTCTCCCTCTAAAGTTCTCAGTTTTTTTTTAATTGCATTAGATCATCATTTACCTAGGAGGCAAGTAACTATCCTTATTTTGCAATAAGAGCACTCAGAGGACCTAATTTGGGACCTACATCTCAGCTGGTGGCTCTAGTGTTCATTCATAAACAAGAACAGTAGGAAATGGATTTGCAGAGAATTCTCAAAGCCTGACAGAAGGCTCACACAGTGTGCATCTGTGTGCAAGCTTTGAGACAAGAAATGCTGACTTAGAAATGCCATGGAATAGGAGAGATATTGCTGAGAGAGAAAGGGAGCTAGAAACAAGTTTCAAAAGATGGCCTTGCAAATAAGACTGGATACTTTGGAGAAACAGAACTGTGAAAGATGCATTGTAGTGGGACCCATGAGGGGTAATTTTAGATGATTGGCTTTAAGACATTTACAACATGATGTGGCTAAAGCTGACAGGCCAAGAAACATTTATAGTGTACTGTAATTAGGAAATAATTAGCTTCTGATTGTGATGGAGTGAATTATAACATCTGTATTGTCTCACCCTTCACATGAGACTGAAAATGGAATAAAAGTTTTTAAAACACCTCTCAGTTGCCCCATCTCTGGGTCAGGAAAAGGGGATTGTCAGACAAAGTACTATGTCTATTCAATGTAAATCAAGGACTTTAAGGTGAAATTCATGTGGTCAAATACAGACAGAGTCTTCAGAAGATAATGCTCCAAGGATTTGAGGTGGAGTCTATGATGGAGAAAGCCATATCCAGTCAGATGAAACCACACCTATTCCCATTCACACATTTCCTCCCTTTAGTACAGCTCTCTACATGTGTGCCTTAACTACTACATGGTCACAGTTTTCTGAAGTAGTATCAGGAGAAGGTGGATTTCACTGCAGCTGTGTCAGTGACCTGCTGGGCAGCCTTTCTGCCATGTTCACTTGTTTATGTTCCTGTTTTCTTTCTAATCTTCTGTAAGCTTTTCTTCAGGTGAGAAATATTTGGCAGGAGCTCCCTTGCTAAGCATTAGTTATACACCCTACCATAGCTCAGATCCTTTTTTGGGATCACTGTGTATTAGCATGATGAAAACAACAAGTAGGTAATAGTGCTGAGCAATCCTCGTGCTTCAGCCAAAGAAAACAAACTTTCACAGCAAGGCAAGATTAGAATTTTTGATCTTTACCTCTGCTCAAGCTCTCCATTGTACTGAATTTGAAGAAAGATGTGTAACTTTTGTTAATGCTAGGTGGTGCTAAAATTTAAATGCCTAGATCTATAATATACCTAATTTTTGTCTCTAAATCTGTTTCCCTGGTTTTGGTCTTTTGGAGACCAGAAATAAATGTCCCTGAAGAACCTTGGAATAAACTTAAGTATTAAAGAAAAAACAAAAAGAGGCAAAAAAAGCACAGAAATCACACTGTCTTTTAAATGGCCTACATTACTATATATTCACATATTTACAGCACTGTATATACAATAGACACACAGTAGAGAGAGTTAAACACTCCCAGAAGACAATTTGGAACTCATATTGACATGAATTGATTTTGTAAGTAATTCTAGGTCTAGTCCCTTTCAAGATGACTACTTCATCTCCATCCTTTATGCTGGGAATATATAAAAGGACCATTAACAGCCTTCAGTCAGGTGGCCTGCATCTCTCTCCTCTTCCTTTTAACAGGGATTAACTTCTGCCTGTGTTAACAAGGACTTGATGCCCTTGAGCAATGTCTTTATGTCTTGTCTTCTCCTCCTTTATTTTAAAATGTTTTATTAGTTTTTAAAATGTGCTAGCTAGAACAGAATATGCATTTGGATTGTTTAAGCAGCAGACATTTCTTTTTTCTTAAATCTTCAGACCTAAGGAACATGACATTGCTCAAGCTGATCATAAACACAGAGATTTGCTTTAAATGTTAATAATATTTGACTTTGCCATGGAGGAGTGCTAATTAAAGGAAAAACAAGAAGCATCTGTAAAATATTACATCATTCAGTTAGAAAGATGAGACATGTTACAGAATGTATGGAATAGGGCAACAGGTTCTATTCATCAGCAGCAACCTAGAATTTTGCTTTTTGTGAGCACAAAAACATAGATATAAGTATATTTCTGAAAATGCATTATGGTATTAAGTCTGTCTTGGTGTTTTGAGCTCTTTTCAGAACAAACTTATTCCTTAGAACTGCAATAATAAAGGCAGCTATCATATTCCTACTTTACCCCTAATAATTTAGCTAACTATAGTGAAATAAAACTTACCTTAAAAATCAAATCCTTTTTCCCATAACGAAGTTCTTTCAGCTGGGCTTGAATCTTTTTTGACTGAAAGTGAGGATAATCAAATCAGGTTTTGGTTTTTTTTAAATTTTAAATATTAAAAAAAAAACATTGTAAATTCTGAGAACAGCAGAACCTAGATCAGATTTAAAATGTAGAACACCCCACTCCAAATAATCATGAATTGCTTTTCCAGGTGCACAAGTCAAACCAAGCAAAAGTACTGAGGAAAATGCAAAATGGCACTCACCAAAAGCACACACCTGAGTTAGCACTGTAAAGAACAGCAGCTGGGCTTACACATTTTAGACATGAGCTGTTATTAACACTTCCCATGAAGTATAACTGAAGGAATCACCTTCAAAGTAAACAATCTTATTCTTAGAAGTAAAGAGGCTCCATAGTCTTACACAGGTCTTTGTAAAGATCAGGGTGTTCCAGGTGGCATCCAAAGGAACTGGCTTGGAACTAGTTTTTCAGTTTGTAACCATGCCCTTGAAAGTACAGGCATAGTTATGCTGATTTATATCAGTTTAAGATGATATTTACTTTCTATATTGCTAAATATATCCTTAAAATTTAAGGATATAAAGGACTAAGTAGTAGTCTATATATTATTTTATTATTTAAACAAAATAAATAGAAATTGATTTTTTGTACTAAACCCAACAATCCAAGAACATTATTTCACCATTTGTCTAAGAATCCTCTCAAAGTAGTATTTTTTTAAAATAAAATCCACAGTCCCAACTGATACTCAATAAATTTTTTTTGTATTAATTAATGTCAAGTGTTCTGAAGTCCTTGGAATGGATTAGAAGTCTGTTTCACATTTACTGAAAGAGCATTCCATAAACATAATATATTACAAAAGCAGTATATCTTTCTTAAGCTAGAATTTTTGGAACGATTTTATCTCTTTCCAATTGACACAGTCAAATTCAGTGACAGACTTTTGGGAAGGCTGAATGAATCCAAGGAATCAAAAATTTTAGAACCTGCTTTAAATGTTTAAATAGTAAGGCCAAAAGGGTTATGGTATTCTGTAAAATCTGAAACTAATAGCCAAGATCAGTCCAGCAGTAACAGCCAATAAAGTCTGTGACTTTATTGGCTATTACTTCATTGAGTAGCACTGTCCTCTGACCTGGACAATAGAATTAATTGAGCTATGGAATATGTTCCACATCACCTAAAAACCAATGAGAAAATGTTCACCAATTTGAATTATTCTGAGAGCTGTGTTTAATAAAATATACAGTTTCTGTGATATACAAGGAATCCAAATAGGCTGTAGAGGAATCTGAGAGCTACAATTAAGGTATAACTCATTTGCTAAATATGAAGTCTGTGATGAAATTAAGAGTCATATAGCTAAATACATCCAGTGCAGGTCAAAAGCATGTCTGTGACCTGTAACTCTTTGTGATAAAATTTGGTAATTTTGAGGATTTTCTGTGCTTCAGGGGAGAGGGAGGATCTCTTAGTAGAGTCAGATAAAATTACCATTAAACACAGGTTTAATGGTAAAATTACTCTTAGTAGAGTCAGACAGATAAAATTACCATTAAACACAGGTCTCTAAAATACAGTCTGGTAGTACTGCCCTGGCATGTGTCCCTTTCTGTGTCCTGGAAACCCCAACCTTTGCACTGCTCTGCCTTGCTCTTTCCAAGGCCCTGACTTCTTGGAGAAGGAAATCCAGCCATGGTAGAACTGTGCAGGATCACAGGCATGCTCCCACATCTGCCACCAGACAACAAGGAATCCCCCACTGTCTGTCTGCATGCAGCCTGAGGCAGCAAAACAGAGCAGGAGCTTCCTGGTAGGCAATCCTACCCACAAAGGGTATTGGATATAATACCTGAAAGGATACTGGGTTCACACAGCTGTTATGCTTGGTGAGAATAGTACTTTAATTAAAAACAGAAATCACACTGTACTTTTCTGGCTGGCACAACTTAACTGGCAAAATGAGCACAAAAAAAGGATGCTCCAGTAGCAATTCTGCTTGTTCCAATGGTAACGTGCTTGATAGCTGCAAATTTGCCAGGATGATTCATAAGGTAGGAGATTCTCACAATTTGAAATACACTCACAATCTGCTGTCTTGACTATTACTTAATTTACTTTTAATTTTCTAAAGAACTCTTACTGCCAGGGCTTGTCACACTGTAATAAAATTAAATTATCCTTAGGCTTCAATCTTAGATGCAAATATTAAGAGAGACATAATCAGAAAAAAAAGATCTTTAAGTTAATTACCAAAGGTTCAAATATTCTGCAGCTAGGTGTGGTGGTTTGACCCTGGTGGATGTTATGTGCCCACCAAAGCCACTCCATCACTTCCCTCCTCAACTGGCCAGGGAACAGAAAATATTTACTCATATTAATTTAGTCTGGGTTTTTTGCATATATAATTTCTGTTAAGGTCATTGCACCTTGCCAGAATGAAACCAAAGCATAAAAAATTTCCTCTGTACTAAAATTTTCCTAATGATTATTAAATGCATTTTCTTCATTAGAGTCTCTACCTTTTAGCAAAAGGTTCATGAGGTAAGGATAGAGAGAGGTTGCTCACCAATTACTATCATGGGCAAAACAGAGTTGACCTGGGGAAATTAATTGAATTTATTACCAATCAAAATCAGAGCAGGATAATAGGAAGTAATAGAAATCTTAAAAGCAGCTTCCCCCCTCTACTCCCCAGCTTCTACCTCCTCCTCCTTCAGCAGCACAGGAGGGAATGAGGGTTATGGCCTCAGTAAATCACATTTCTGTTGCTGCTGCTTCCTCCTCAGGGACAGGATTTCCCCTGCTCCATCATGGGGAAATATATTTGCACAGGAAACACTCCTCTAAAACTTGTTCAATGTGAGTCCCTCCCATGGGCTACATTTCTGTACAAACTGCTCCAGCACCATCCCTTTCCATGGGGTGCAGCCCTTCAGGAACAGGTTGCTCCAGGACGGGGTCCCAAGTCCCACCAGGACACCTGCTCCAGCCTGGGCTCCTCTCTCCATGGACCCACAGCTCCCTGCTCCAGAACTGGTGTCCCACAAGGTCACAACCTTCTTTAGGGGCATCCACTTGCTGTGACATGGGGCTCCTCCACAGGTGGATCTCAGCTCCAGTGCCTGGAGCAGCTCCTCTCCTTCCCTCTGCACTGACCTTGCTATCTGCAGAGATGATTATTCCACATACTCTCACTCCCCTCTTCTCTGTCAACAATCATTACTGTGCAGTAACTTCTTTCTTTTATAAATATATTATCACAAAGGGGCTGCTACTGTCTGTGATTGTCTCAGCCTAGGCCAGTGGCAGGTTCATAGTGGAGCTGGCTGACATTGGCAGTTCTGGAAGTTTCCCAGAATAAGCCACCCCAATAGCTCTCCCCGCTGCCAAAACCTTCCCTTGCAAACCCAATGCACTAAGAAAAAGAAGGGTATTTGTACACACTGCTGTTTTTTAAGCAGTAAAGAAGGGAAGAAACATTTGTATTCCTACATTGTGACAGGTTTGAGACCAACAATGGGGATAAAGGAAGATAACAGATTTTGAAAGACTAAAAAAAAATATTCCTAACCCTATTACTTCCTGCCTTTGAGAATTTATCAGAAACTTGACCTCTAAAGTACTGATCTCTAATTTAAAAGGTAGAGACTCTAATGAAGAAAAGGCATTCAATAATCATTAGGAAAATTTTAGTACAGAGGAAATTTTTTATGCTTTGGTTTCATTCTGGCAAGGTGCAATGACCTTAATAGAAATTATATATGCAAAAAACCCCAGACTGAAGTAATGTGAGTAAATCAGATTCACATGTAACAGTTGGATTTTTTTTTTAATGAAAAGAAAAATAAAGGGAATGCTCACATGAGTGCAGGTACTTCTACATGGAGGAATTTGCCAAAAATAGGGCTTTTGTATCACTGACTATTTATCTCACTCTTCAGCAGAGGGGAGATTTCTCTCCTCCAGTTCCACAGTGACCCTTTTTCCCTCAAAATAATGGAACATCCTGGGAATCAATAACAATAGATCTTTCCTGTCTCAATGTTAATTTCAAAACGGGCCTTTGGCAATTCCAAAGGAGTTCAAGTAAATGAAATGAAATGAGACACGGAGTTCATGTAAATGAAATCAGTTTTATATATGTTACAGATGTATATATCTATAGAGTTATATCATAGGCGCATCCAGATGATTTTATTTGTCTAAAACTTGAGTTTGCAACTTGCTTTCTAATACATTTGAGCTGCTTCTTGTGAAGGCACAAAAATTAGTTGGGATGACAGCACTTCAGGAACACTCACCATACAAGCACAATATATATTCTGTATTCTGGTTTATATATATATATACACACACACACATATATATTCTTGTGGATATGTATAAAACACCAGAACCTCAATACAAAACACTTTGATGCAAACTTTTTGGGTAGATTAGATTTAGAATAGACAGGAATCTTCCTTACCTCTTCTGCGTGCATACCACAAAGCTTGTTTCCTGACAACAGCTTGTTTTTGAGGCTTTTGTTCTGAGAATGGGACAAAAAAAACCCAAAATAGTTTATTAGTAAGTGTTACTAAAATATTAAGGAACCCTTTAACAATTTGACCATACTGACTTTGTTTTTTTATATGGATAACATCTTCAAGTCACCAACAAAGATATAAATAAAACAAGAGAGAATAATCAAGGCACAGTATCCTTCTTACAGAATTCTTAAAGGCATTTACATTAAAATTTGCTTCAACAGGAACAGGACTGCCCACAGAGACCTTCCCAGAACACTGGCAACCAAAAGCAATTTAGATTTAATAAGCTGAGGTAAAAAAGGGCAGGAAAAAACCTCTAATCCTTGCTTGGTGTCAACTCCACAGCTCAGTATCGTTTTCTGTAAATCATTTTAACAACTGAGTAATAGGGCCAAGGTCTCATCACTTGACCTTGATGATCAAAATCAAGGGGTGTTTCTGCTAAATTTTATCATTTAAAACTGCAAGTAATAAAACCAGTAGAAAGTTAGTTACCTGATAGCATTCTGTCAACTCAATATGGTTTTTCATGTAGGAGTTTCAAATGTATTTCTTCTCATTTTCAGGGAAAATAACAAACCCTGACAAAATTAATTCTTCATAGTAATTATTTTTCCACTACTCACTCATATTATCCCATAACTGACAGTCAAGGGTGAAGATTTCTCTGCAGTGTGAACATCTTTTAAAACTGGTCAAAACCGTAAGTATTCAATAAACAGATCCACAAGTGCTGAACATAACACACTTAACATGAAAAAAATATTAAAAGAATACAAAAACCAACTATTGCTGTGTTAAAGGACTGTAAATATACAAACAGAAAGAGAACCCATCACGTTTCAGGAATGTATGTTTATTACTGAACAGCAATAGCTTTCCTGTACAGTGTGCACAAGAACAAGCTGTCTTTAGAGGAAAAAACATAATTCCATCCAGTTTAAATTTAGGTCTGCATCCCTCTGAAACACTGGAAGCTCTAATTCCAGAATTGGAAGCTTTGAGTTTCTCTTGAAAAAAAACCCCTTTTTTTAAAGGAAATGCAAAGAAACTAAAATTTCATTTGAAAACTCATTTTCACGATTCCAAAATACGGAGATCTGACATAATTTCACATTTCACTGTTGCTAGCTACCATGCTACAGTATACATTACTGCAGAAACAATAAATTTTTCCCAGCTGTTTGACATGGATGCCCACAGTTCTCTTATACAACAGAAAGGAACGAGGATGTTATTTTGAATGAGACAATCCAAAAATCCAGACTCTATCTTTCAAAATATGATTTGCAAAGAGCTGGATGTTGCTCTAGTAAGTGTCACAGTCAATTACCTATTTTGGTTCTTTGTTTGAAAATTTATGTTGTAACTCACCAAAGAGCAATAGCCTGTTGTACTAACCACTATGGAAATACAGAATAAGACAAGTGGCTCTGAAAAAATGGAACTGTATAGCAGACAGAAGATGAACAAAGGAAAACAAAATAAAAATCAAAGACATGAAGCAGGCCTGACTCATCTATTTCCCATCAGGGGTACACCTAAAGAACCAGGCTGCACTTGTGAACACAGAGTGAATGTGTTTTACATGCATCTTAATAGTTTCACATAAAGATCAGCATCACCTTTTGGGATGATAAAACAGATGTGCCAAAGCCACTGTTTCATTAGGGACTTGCACTTAATTAACCCAGGATATCAAGGCATCCCTTTGGTTTGACTGACTTATTATCCTCCAGTCCCTCACACAATGGTGATGGTTGGTTCAGTAGATAGAACTCTGTCCATATTTCAGAAGCAAAGAAAGAATGAATTGTAGTCATTACATTTTTGTTCATTTGTCTTCCTTTTGCTCAGTATAAACTATTGTAAGAAATAACTTCTGCTAACACATTAATCTTCTGTAAGTAATTTCCACATAGGCTATTTTGAGAATACCATGCAGTAACCCAGAATGTGAGAAACTGTGTGGTAACAGGACACACAATGTACTAGACAGTTGTCACAATTTCCACATTTTGTGCCAAATAAACCTGGCAAAAGTATATAGTTATATATACACAGAATTTGTCCAAAAGCAAAATTTGATGAAAATATTGAAACTTAGGAGATGGACTCAGTTTTTGAGATTTAGCTAGGTTTAACATGATTTCCTGATTCTGTCTCATTATCCAGGCAACAAAAACATCCAGCGGGGTTATCAGAATGCAAGCAAAACAGTCCTTATTTGATCTGAACTTAATAATGGTTTTAGAAATGAGAGCAAGCATTAAAAGTTAATATTATCCAGAGCATAATAAAGTAGGAGCATAAAAAATAAGTAGGAGTTTGTTAGAAGTAGATGACAGCTTCTTGGCTACAATTTGCGTGATGTTAATTCACAAATCACATATCACAGTTGAAAATAACTCTGCATCCTGATTAACAGTACTGATTTTTATAGCAGAATATGAAGTCTACTAGTAAAAACATTTGAAGTATAACAGAGGTTTTTTGTTTGTTTGTTTGTTTGTTTTTTAATTCTGAATTAAAATCTTTCTTCTTCTGAAAGAAGTCTAATCAGGTACATATTCTGGAAGAATAAGTCCCTTTTGCTAGAAAGGGGCTATTCAAAGCCTCTTTCTAGCAAAAAGGGCATTGATTAATTAATCAATGAAATTTTAAATTTACAAAGGCCTATTGATTCAGAACAGAAGTTCTGACTTCTAAGATTTACAAGGATTAAAGATTATGCTCATTTTCTTATTAAGCATCCCTCAAAGAGCAAGAACAAATATACTAATCAGAATTTTATGCAGTTTTAATTTCAAATAATTCATTTGTAATTAAGTACTTCAATGGAGAAGATCTTGGACATTTCAATCTGAAAAATAAGGAATGAAATATCTGTAAATATATCTTTAGTAATCAATTTAAAAATTATATAGAGAAATTATTTTAATTAGCAATGGCCTTCTAGACTTGGAGTTAAAACATCATTATATTCAAAACAAACAGGTATTTTACTGTATTTGAACATCTTAGAAAGCTTACAGCAAAAGCTGTAAGCTGGAGTATTTGCATGCAATCACATCATTAAGCCAAGTTACTGTTGGACCGAATTCTTACTGTATGAAATCTTTTAGCTTATTTGCACCACTTACACCAGGAGTTTCAGTGCATTCCAAAATTCAGGTGCAAAAAGCCTGCTGTCAGTGTTTGGCTCACTGGCAAGAATCCTGCTGTCTCTTCCCATGCAGTTTGCTCCCACTGTGCTGGTACCCAGGCTCAGTAATTCCACACGAGTCCAGCATCCATTCCCTGCTGCCCACTGGCACAGACTGCAGTGTCATGGCTAATGGCTTAACCACTGTCAGGAAGGACTTGCTGTCCATTATGCCAAAACTCTATGGAGAATCTGCTACCACCAAAGCCCAGCCTTTCCTGAATGTGCCTCCTGACTGGAACTTGGGACTGGGAGTTAAGCTGCCTAAGGGAACGTGAGATAAGATGAAGGTGACACTGTTAGCCAATTATCTCGGGTCTGGGTAGAAGAAAACAAGGCTGAGGGAGAAGAACACATCCAACAAGAAAGCCAGACCCAGGAGCTCTCCAGACAATCAGCTCTGGCTGGGTCAGGGTGCCCCCACAGCCCCCAGGCTCATCTGCTGAGGCCAGGCTTGCACACACTCCCTGCCCAACCAAACGGGGGGCAGGAGAGTTTTGGGTGTGTGGCAGAACCTCTGGTGAGAGGCAGCGAACACTCATCCCCCCTCACAACAAACCAGCTCTGCTGTAAGCCCCCCTACATCCCAGGAAGGTGACATCCAAGTGGAACATTCACATGAAGGCAGCTGAGGGGTGCCATAAACCATCAAGCACCCCTGAAGTGCCCCCCAGACCCATTCCTGAGGCCTTGCACAGGACAACTGCACATGATGCAACAGATCCAGTCTCTGTTGCATGAGACACTGCCAAACCTGCCCTCCCAGGGCATTCCCACCTGGCCAAACCATATATAAATCCATTGAACTCTTGTGTTTTGTGGGACCCTCAACACCAAGAAGACCAGAAGAAGAGGATCAATGGAAAGCTGTTGGGATCTACACTAGTGATATTTTCTACTTAATCTGTCTCTCTGTCACTATCCTTCTCTCCTCTACCTTTTGCTATTTCTTTGTATATTTCTCTATTTACCTCATATTTACTGTTAGATAAAATCCATACTATTGATGTGGGCATACAGTCTCATTTGTACCTTAATTTGGGCAGCGGCATCTCTCTAACAATTTTAATAACCGGATTGTAACAGCCCACAGAACTCAGAACTCTTAGAGACAATTTGTTAAACTTGTTAACATGTTCTTCACAGAGCTTCTGTACTGAAAATAAAAAGCTTTCTGTCTCAGTCCCTGGGCTTGTTTTTTTTCCTTTTCTCTTATAACATTCCTAAACATTGTTAGGGTTCTGATAATATTTTCAAAATGTGAGACTAGACTTAATGAGAGATAAATTCATTATCTATGTAGCCTAAGGATCTACCTCCAATATAAAAACATAGAAAAGAAGCTGTGGTGCCATACTTTTTTTTGTCAACATGCCTTTGGAACCTGATGAAAAAAACCCCTCGCTTTGCTACAAGGGTATCTGTTCCTTTCTCTTCCCAACTTTGGAAAATAAACCTTTCTCTTCTGCATCTGTTTTCCTGAATCAAATGCCAGCAGGCCAGCCAAACACAAAACATCTCGAGACCTTCACCCATGCTTTTAAAAGGAGCAATTCCTACCATAACAGATTGAGCATTTCACCTCTCTAGAGAAGAGGGAGAGGTTGAGACTACTTTAGCATTCTTAGAAAACAACAACTGTGATGCCAATCAGAAAACATGGACAAAGGCTTACAAAGAAAAGCACTAACTATACACCTGAAAGCTCAATAAAACCACTTTTACAGCTGCAGTTTTAGTCAGTTTCCTTTCTGCAAATAAGTTTTGTAAAAATCATTAAATCATTGTGCAGCT